CTCAACAATCCACGTTACTGCGACTCCGACTCGTCCAATATATGAGCACTCGCACACTTCTCTACGTACATATGTATGTATACATGTGTGTATGGTGAATGTATGTTGCGTATACGCTTTGGGGGCAAGTCAAATGAAACGCGTCGCGGCTCCTAATCACGCGGTGGCGACGCCAATTTTATGGCCCCCCCCGGCTCGATAGGCGCCGCCCTGGCCAGACGTGCCAGAAACAGAAAATGGAGACGAGGCTGAAGCTGAGGCGGAGACGGAGGCAGAGACGGAGGCAGAGGTAGGCCAAAGCTTTCGCATTTGTTTATATGCCGCAACAGCTGCTCCCTAAAACAAAATAAACAACAACAACAAGAAAGAACTCAAAACGCCGCAAAGCGAATACCCTTGTGAAGTGTACCAGTGAATTATACATTCAAAAAGTCGAAACATTTTACAAATGTTTACAGTTGGTAATAATTTACAAAATGAATTTCAAATTCAAAACAAATAATTAGAATTGTTTTTATTAAATGTAAATATGTGAAATTATTTCTACATAGACGAAAAATCCTTAAACTAGAATGGATTCTTTTCTATTTGTTAGAAATATGTTTCTGAATAATTGGAAATACTTTTGAAAAAGCCGAAATGCAAACCTTAATTATCAAAGCAAAAAAATGATGGAAAATGTCTCATATTTGTTCCCAAAAATCTGAATTTGTATAATATATTAATACACTACAATTGCCGTCAAAACTATGGCGAATTGTGAAAATTCAGAATACATATATACATATGTACATACGAGTATTACTATGAACAAAAGCACTTAGGTGCTTAATAAGTTCAGAGATGTCTTCTGCAATGCGTTACGCAATGCGTGGCAAGAGTTGAATGCTCGCTGCAAAGGGTATATTATAAAATTCAAGAAAAAGCCAATGCCAAATTTTGCAGTCGAGGCTGCCTGAACTTAGACGGTCCCTAAAATAAAAAGCAAAGTTAACAAGTTGTTGCCTTTTGTGTTAAACATAAAGTATGAATACTTGAATGTGTGCGTGTGTGTGTGCGTGTGTGTGTGTGTGTGTGTGTGTGTGTGTGTGTGTGTGCGTGTACGTTTACGTTTGCACTTACTATATACATTTCAATGTGGTTTTCGAGTTATGGGGCTATGTGCAGATTTCTGTTATCTCTTTGTTGCCGCGCCGGTAAATGGCCAACAAGCAAATTTGAAGCTGCTCATCTTTTTCTTTTCTTTGCCATTCAGGCATTTGCCCCGCCTTGGCCCGGCACCTAATTCGCATTTTGTCCCCTCGTTTTTGTTGTTTTTTTTTTCTTCTTTTTTTTTGCGTATTTGGTCTTTTATTTGGGTATTTTGTTGGCGGTCTTAATATAAATTCGTTAACGTTAACCTTTTGGCAGCTGGCTTGCGTTATCCTAAATCAACAGTGCCTGCAACAAGGACTAAGGACCAAGGAGTTGCCTTCAATTGTGCCAATTGCCTGCCGCTTGTCAGTTAATCAAAATAAAAGCCCGCCCCGCAACCAAACAATAAAAAAAAACAACGAAGAAAGAAATTTAAAAACAAAAATAAAAATAAATAAAATTTAAAAAAAATATATATAACAAAGAGTAAGCGCTGCCAGTTGAAATTCACAGGACTCGAGCAGGACGAAGGCTCAGGCGTATGTTGTTTTTGTTGTTGCCGTTGTTGTTGCTGTTGTTGCTGTTGTTGTTGTTGTTGCTGTTGTTTTTGTTATAGTCTGGCGCGCCGCCAAAAACCTTTTGGCAACGAATACACAACGCGTTCGTCTCGATGTTGCGTTCACCTTCTTCTTCTTCTTCTTCTTCTGCAGCTTCTTCCATTTGCTGCCGCGTTGTGTTAGTTTACCGTTAGTTTTGTTGTTCGTGATGTTTTGCATTTTGCCAGCGATTTGTGTGTGTGTTTGTGTTTATTTTTTTTATTGTGCGCTCGCCTTGTGTCCGGACTCCGGCCTTTGGACCATATTTAAGTGCATCGATGGCGAAATATTTTTCAATTTTTCAACACATTTGGCTGGCAGCAGCAAAATGCTGCTCATATTTTCACAAGCTGTCAACATATATCTTTTTGTTGTTGTTGTTGCCGCTGTCTCTGCCACTGCTACTGCTGCTGCTGCTGCTGCTGCTGCTGCTGCGTGTGCATTTCTGGCAATAATGTTGCAGTAGAAAGCAGAAACAAACAGCAAACGGCAAACAAGTCTTGTGTAAGAGTGCCACGCCCACTCACACCCACACACACCCACACACAGAGGGTGTGTGGAATAGCTAAGGGAGTGCAGCAGTCATTTCCTCCACTCAGTCAACATCAAACAGAAACAGAACGGCATGAAAATCAGCGCGTCGACGCTCGCCGAGTTCGCTCGGCTTGTAAATGGGCAAAACACTTTGACAAAGTGCAGCTGACACATCACACTTACACTAACACACACACACACATTAAACACACTTACAGAAGAAAACACAGCAACGAAAAGACCCCATTACGAATTAAATTCGTAGGCGTTAAGCTTAAGCTAAAGCTTTTTATTCGATTCACAAGCTCGCTTACCTTGTGTGAGGGATCGTAAACGGTCGAATACTGTACGACTCCATATACCAAGGTAGACTATTTGAATACACCCCAGATATATTTATATAAACACTATATATTCATTGAATGACTTTCTCTAGGATATAGAACAAGTTAAACATATAAATATATTTTACAAATTACATAGCAATTTACATAGGTAAAAGAGAGCTCCAGCAAACAACTCTCCACTTAAAAGTGCTACTGGGCAATTAATGCATGCAGAATGCATTCGGTAATGATTGTCAAGTTCGCTGCTGGGGTACATTTGTTAACGCAGAAGCACCGCACTTAACACTGAACTTTGTCCTCCATAACCCACCCCCAACACACACCCATTCCTGGCGCCATTCTGCGTTGAAGGTGTTGATGATTTTGAAGAGTGCGCGCGTTTTCCGAGCGATTTGATAGCGCTTTTGGCAGCGCATTTTGGGATTGGTGCACAGACCTCAGCAATTAAAGTTGTCGTTGTAAAAAGCACAGTGTGCACGTATGCATGAGTGTGTGTATGTGTCTATAGACACATTATGTGCGTGTGTATTTGTGTGTGTGTGTGTCTGGGTTTGATTTCAATTTAGTTGGGTTATTGCTTTGGTCGGCCGGCCACAAAAAAATAATAAGCCAAATAGGCATAAAGCAGAACGATCTCCACAGTCACACACACACACACACACACACACGCTCACCCACCCTATGTAGCCAATCACATGCCTCTCTTCATTGGCAAAAAAAAAAAAAGATTGAAAGAAAAAAGTGAAACCAACAACCCGAACCCCAGCTCGAAAAATGTGAGCTTTCTGCCTGCCTACACTCATACAAAATCCCAACAAATTTTCGTAAATCGGCATACAATTTCAAAGATTCATGTTCAAATTCAAATTCAATTTTATGAATAGAATTAATTTTAAAACAAAAATCGCCATATTCTTGGCAAAATTTTAGAAATTTCCTAATAGTTACGAATAATTATTTCTAAAAAATAAAAAAACTTTCTATTAAGGCGATTTTTGTTCTGAGTGTAGTGTCGGTCTCGGTCACACATTGCAAGCCAATTGATGATGATGATGATGATGATGAGGAGACACGTTAAGCGTGGGACGGGAAAGGGACAGGGACAGGGACAGGGAGAGGAGTCGTTGCTAGAGGGAGTGGGGGGTTTCCCGATAAGTGCACTGGCATGTGAAAATGCGTTCAATTGAAACTGGGTTACAGCTTAGGGGCTGGCTACGGGTTATAGGCTATATGTGCTTATGGGTTATATGGCTATATGGCTAATGGCGCAGATTGGGTGTTTCTCGATTTTGTGAGTGCGTTTCTCATTTTTTTTTCCTATTTTCTTTCTTTTTTTTTTGGTTGATTATTCGAGCACGCCACGTTGGTAATGGCAATGGCCAAAAAGCAGCTCAGACATCATCGAGGTCAACTGATTGAAAATACATACATGTGTGTACATACATGGATATGTGTATGTGTGTGTGTGTGTGTGTGTGTGTGTATGTAGATTATTATGCTGATGATTTGAAGCAGGCAGGACCAAGTCCATTGGCTGTGCTGCGACTAATTGATTGCCTGACAGGAATTGTCAGCGATACAGCAAATACATATATACGTACACACATTATGTGTGTATGTATGTACATGTATGTATATATGTAGATACGGCTATATATATATATATATATATATAGCGCACCTCGGACTTGTTCGTGTCCGGCGACATTTTGATTGATTATTGATTAAATCTAATTACGTTGATTAATCTTGAACTTAATTTATTGATTGATGGCATAATTGTATGTATAATTGCTTCATTTAAGTTTAGACAGGCTTATAATTGATTATTGATTTCAAACTTAATTTATTGATTTATGGCATAATTATATTTATATTAGCTTTATTTGAGTTTAGACTAGCTAATAATTCTTTAGTGATTAAATTTAATTGCGCTAAGATCAGAAAATACGAACTTTAATCAAAAGTAAAATACAATTGTGATTGAAACATCATTGATTTGGTCCGATTCGATCCGATTTCGATTTCGAATTTTTATCGGTAGCATGTGGTTCATTTTTGACATCCTAATAAATATATATTGTTATACAGCGTTGATTGATATTATTGTTTGATAGGTTGCCAATTATTTTATCGATATATAATAAAATCAAATGGGCGAAACGCAAACCTTGCCAGATCAATGCATCGAAGACAAATCTGGCCACCGGCAAAGAAATCGTGCAACTCAATTAATACTAAGTGGCAATCACAAAAAATACTAAAGAATCGATCAATCTGGCAACTGTTTATTAATTAACCCGTTAACTTCTGCCAATTGTCAAAGCAACAGCGTTGTGAACAAATAAGAAAATATTACTATTATAATCTTATAATAATATAATAATACATTAGTGAGCTTTATTTTAATCACTCGGTTTCGCGATCATGCCGAAATTGAAGCACAATTACAAAGCGAACGACTCGCAATTGTTCTCGATACCATACGGCAAGGCTGAAGACGCCAGCAAGAAAAAGCATCGGATTAAAATCCAAAATGTCGGCAATTCAACTCAAAATGGCAAGGAGTCGCCGCGAAATGCAACAACTGATCCGATAAATAATGAAAATGTGCTCAAATGTTATGCGGTACATCAGAAGGCGTCCGTTGTCTCCCTGACGAAGCAGTTCAAGGAGTTTGAACAGAAAATACAAAATACCAATCTGAGCATTGCGGAGAAAAACAAGGAAAATTATCAACTAAAGAAATTGTAACTAAATCCAATTACAACTTGTGTTTAAGAACGGTATAATGAATCATCTCCGAACCCATAAATTATATATATATTATTGATTTGCATTAGCAGCGGAGTCATCCAACCATGTCCATCTGTCCGTTTGTTTGAGCAAGCGGATCTCAGAGATTTTAAGAGCTAGAGACACCAAATTGGGAATATAAGTTCATTTGATCAAGTTTCCATCATTTTATCGATAACTGCCACGTTTTGCGAATTGCATTACATTAATATTTTTCTTATACCGCTAGTATTGGGCTCACTCGATTTCAGCATTCTTACTTGTTTTGTCTCTTTTATTTTTATTTACTCATTTTTATGTTTTAGCTTGGATGATTTGAACAAGGAAAGAGTGGAGCTAAGTGCGCAGTACAACAAGTTATTAAAGAATAATAATAAGCTGGAGCAACAGCTTACTGAAAACAATAAAAGGTATTCCTCATTGGAAAGTGGCTATGATGAGAAACTTTCCCATTTTAAAACCATTTGCCGAAGAACGGAAATCGAGCTAACTGTGCAGCACAAACAAAACGATAACTTGTTGGGCGAGGTAAGCTGTCAAACAGTTAATAAACAGCAGCCAACTCATTACCTCTTCTTTTCGTTTCTAGTTAAAGACAGTGCAGGAGCAGCATAGGGATTTGCTGGCTCAATTCGAGACTATGGCGCAGCAGAAGGATAACGAATTGATTGATTTACAAATGAAATATAAGCAGTTGCAGGAGCAATTGATCGAAATGGAGACGACTCTTGAACAGCAGAAGCTGCAATTTATAATGGAAAAAGAGGTGCGTAACGCTTAAATGTATTGTTTGCTCAAAAATTGGAGCTAGCACTAGTTAGAATGGGTCAGCAGCTAAAAGGCATTTACTGTACGTGTGTCGGAAAATGTTTGGAATAAAAGACACAGTTTCACAGTATTTATTATTTTGTGGTACACTTAAAAAAAAATGTAATAAATCCATTTAATATTTGAAAACTGTATATTTATACAAATGTCTCAACACAAACATTCTTTCTTACACTATTCAGACGGCCCAATCAGAGCAGCGAGCCGAGATATCAGTGGTACTTGCTAAACTGGAGGATTTTGAGATGCGTTACCTTGAGCTGCAAAAGTTAAACCAAGAGAATTCGATTAAGGCGTCCAGCGTAACGCAACGTCTGGAGACAGAAATAGAGAGACAAAAGCTGCAAATTGAAGAGCTCTTCGGGCAAAATCAGGACTTGAAGGCAAATGAGAAGCATCATCAAACCGAAATCAGAGCACTTCAAGAAGCCAACGACCAGTTAAAAGACAATAGTGCGCTCAAAGATTCCGCAGCGCAAGCTGAGCTAAGGAAGTCTGAAAATCAACTGAGCCAACTAAGGCAGCAAATCGAAGGACTACAGCAAAATCATTTGAATACATCAAATACGTTGTCAGCTGAAAATTACACGATGACACAGGAGTTCGAGAAGGTCAAGCTACAATATGAGGTACTTGTGAATCAGCATTTAATAAAATGTCGAAATCACCAATAAATATAAATATTTTCAGCAAAAACTGGCCGCTCTGCAGAACGAGCTCAAGCTCAAGAATGCAGAAATTGTCGCATGCCAACAGCATTTTACCGAGCTGAAATGTAGTAGCAATGTAAGTTACCACCAAGTATTCTATTTTTTGTACGGTTACTTTTGCATCTCTTTCTTATCCAGGCCACTATTGCGGAGCTGAACTATAAAATAAGTTCAATCGGCAAACATTTTTGCCAGCCAGTCGGCACCGCCAGAGTTCTGAGTAGACGTGAGACAGATGATTCAATCGTGTCACAGACCGCACCTGTAACTATATCTCCCGAGGAACCACTCAATACGGCAAATGTTGGTGAAAACTCGAATGACACTATTTTCGGAATAGCTGCACATATATCTGACAGACTACGGATGCTACCAGAACGACAAAGAAAAACAAATAATTGGTACGGTTCTGATTTTATATCAGATTCTGAGGATAACGTGTCAAATTCGGAACCAAAACAGCTTAAATTGGTGTGTATCCGAGTCGAATCTAAGCTATATCCCAGATTCAATTGTAATTCATCGAATTAATTATATTTTTTAGAACGAAATGGGTCCGGTCCGTAAGGAAATGGCAAAGCTAAAGCGCACTAAAAAAACAAGCGCATTTGATACATTAAAGAATTCATAAACAGTAGCTGGTATCTATCAAAAAGCATACTCAAATTCGTTTCTTTAATACCATGCAATGGAAACGAACTTTTTTTATACATGCAAACATGTTGCAATTCTGTATTATTGTATGTTTATGCAAGGAGCATAATCATTCAAATAATGTTCACTCATGTAACCCATATTATGTAAGTCTTTATGAAGTTGGCTAATTTGTTTTAGTTTCACTTCAATAATTTTGCTTTGGCCATGAAGTAACCATATTTATCATTATTATTATCATCAGTATATATTGACAAAACCTATTTTAGTTTTGTGTTATTTTATGTTTATGTCAAGCGCATAATCATTCAAATAACTTTCAGGCGTGTAAGTCATATTAATAATAATCAATAACTTTGTTTTCTTAATATATGTATATTACAAACATATTCTGTAACTATTATTATTATTAAATACAACAACTATAAGCTTAACAATCTAGCTTATAGCATATATACTGTGGCCTTCTGCTACATACAAATATTTGTATTTTTCGTTATTGTAAGCTTATGCCAGGCGCAGAAGCATTCAAGCAACTTTTGTTCACTGACATACATATCTCATATTAAGACTTTGTGCCAAATCTGCGCCAAGTTGGTTTCTGTTGTTGATAGTTTTAAGTTTATAAGTGTGAAATTCTTTCTTTGTCTTCGAAAAAAACATTTTTTATTTAATATTTTCACGAAATACGTGAAGTATCTCTTTACTAAGATTAATTAATTACTAATTAAGAATACTATCATCAAGAATATTATAATCAATACTGTAATCAAGAATTAAGTGAAAATCTTAATTGATTTGATTTGTACTTTAAAATACATTTACTAATACATAATAATTAACATGTTAACCTACTGTTTATCTTACAATAAAATTAGTAATATGCAAAACATTTGGTCGACATAAGTACATATTTACATAGTGCAACTGTAATTAATTTGATTTGTGGCATGCTACTGATAGATCCAATGATTGATGCGCAACTTGAACTTGATTGAATTGATTGATCTCAGTGCGACTGAATAAAGTATGTCAAGTATTGCTTGTGGGGCGCAATTGATAGGAACGCCTCATAAAATGCTGATTCTATCCGTTAATGTTGATTAGCATTTTGCAAACAGATACAAATTACATTCGAAACTCGTCCAAGCCGAATGATTGATTTGATTCCTTGGTCATCCCCTTTCCCATTCGTCAGCTTATCCACTTAACCATTCATCAGCATCAGAGACAACCCAACGCGCCCACAATTCACAATTCAATAAAGCTAAAGCCACAACAGCATTCCCAGCTCATGGTCAGCGCGCCCCACTCTCCTCTCTCAACTCGTGTTGTTCAACGCCAACGCCAACATTCGCGCCACAACAACCATTGCTAATTGTGTTACGGAGGCACAAATGCCACAATCCTTTCAGGCGCCTCGAACCGCAGCCAACAGGAACGGCAACGGCAACGGCAGCGACGACGGCAACAATAAGAGTAACTGTAACTGAATAGTTGCAGCCGCAGTTACGACAGCAGCAACAACAGCAACAGCAACAATAACAACAACCACAACAGCATCCCATTGAAACGTTTATAAGCGACATGAACCGCCACACCGCAAAAACTAAACAGACCCCTCGGACGCTCGATTTAATCACAAACAAATGCGTCCGGCCACTGGCCGAGTCGAAAGAGTAACCCCCAACCCCTCCAACCACCCTTAACGACAACGATAACAATAAACAGTGTACGTTACTCATGGCCCCACCCCCGCTCACTTGGTTATTGTCTCGCCCCCGCGCATCCATGAAAAATCGTCACACATTTTAGTCCGCTATTAATTCGAAAAATATTCAAAAACCAAACAGCGAAAGTTTTGGTTTCGCCTGTTTTGCTAACAACAACAGCAACAACAACAACAACAGCAGGAGCAGCAGCAGCAGCTGCAAAATGTTGGCTGTGCAAATATTTTGTGGTGACTGACTTTTAAAGGTTCCATCTCTGCATTGAAAGTAAACAGAAATAATTATCGTTGCTCCGATTTGCGTTCTCAGCACAAAAAAAAAACAAGAATGGAAAAGAAATAGAAAAATAAATCATTTACTTACGCTACGTTTATCCAAAACCTGTGCGCGCAATAACACCAGTAACAGTAGCTTAAGTCCTGCCCAATACTATTTCAGCTCCCCCATAAAGTCACCTCTGCCCGCGCCTCAGGCATTTGTTGATTTCTACGTCCGCTCGATTGCAGTCGACGACGGTAGCAGCAGCAACAACATCAACAACAGCAGCAGCAGCAACAACGTTGATGATTTTTGCTGTTGTTTTTGTCGTTGCTACAAGTATTTGTTGCAAGGCGCATAAAAAGCATAAGCGCGTAAATAAAGTCAACCTCATTTATTTTGAATATAAACTACATTTTTTACGACTGCCAGCAGCAAAACAGCAGCAAAACAGCAGCAAAGCAGCAGCAGCAGCAGCCAGCAGCCAGCAGCCGCAACCAAGCCAAAGTCAAAGCGCTTTGCAATAGTCAACGGCAGGAGCCGTCGCCCGATTTTGTTACTGGGGCCCATCGTCATCAGCCTGGCAACTGGCCATGACAACTAAGTAATGCAGTTTGGGTGCCCAGCTTACATTTCATATCAAACTCATCAAAATCATCAAATATTCAAATTAAACTCAAGTCAAGTTTCTAAACAAACTTTCGCACTACTCAAGTCGAAGTGCGCCACCTTTTGTCCGTTATCTAAAGTAAAACAGCTTGCTTTGAAACTTTAGCTGCAGCGTTGCATTTGCAAGCGGGCCAGAATGATAATTGGGCTGCTGTTTAGGCAATTGATCACATTTGTTGCACTTAATTTTTCACTTCATCTCGAAGTTTAATTTGAGTTCACAATACTCCAAAATGTTGCAAAATATTTGGTCAAGATATTTATTTAAGCCAAGAGATATAGAGGTTATAGAGATTATAGAGCACGAGCTTGTCGACTTTGATTTTCTCACGTTCCAAGGTATTATTTGTATACCCTGTAACCAAATGTTACACAGGCAATAACGAAACTGACCAAGTATCAGATTTTGATTGAGTAATTTGGAACATCTGGCTTGCAAATTAATGCTAATCAAATATTCATATTCGATAGTAACAGTTCAGTCTCCTTAAAATAAAATCTTAGATTGTTATTTGTTTAATGGTACATGTTGTACTGGGTATTTACAAGTTTAATATTTCCTTAGCTTGCCTTACGTTTTTCTGCTTATTGTTTTTATTACATGATGCTGTTGTTCATACCTGTTGTTGTTGTTGTTGTGGGGGCCGTTTGTTATCGTCGAGCAATTTTTGTTGAGGTCTCGACATTAAACGTAAAAATGACATACAGCTTAAGCATAGTCTGTGGACGGGAGAGGGGAGCGTAAGCGGAATTGAGTGGGGGGGGGAGGGTTGGGCGGGGTTGAGGGGTGACATTTTTTTTTTTTGCTTGCGGTGGTTTAGTTGATGGTGATTTTGGTCGGGTACCACGGGGGCAACAGTTCATTGCCGGCAGTTCCTGCTTTGGTCCAAAACACACACACACACACACACAAATATACACACATACCATGGCCAGTAAATAAAGAGAAATGAATGCATTTGTCATGACCTCGAAACGGAAACAATTGAAAAAGCTTTCCTATCGCGCTGAGGCTCTCGCAAGCAGAATGGAGTAGGAGCGGGAACGGGAACGGGAATGGGAGCGGGGGCTGGAGCAGTGGCAAACCGAACCGCAACGCGACCCCTTCACTCACACACACACACACAGAGAATACACATAGAATACACACAAAAATGTAACTAAGGCGTAACACAAAAATGCAACTGACATAGAAAAACGGCATTTTATGTACCCAGACTCACACACACACACAATCACACATACACATACACATAAAGTAAGCTCGAGTTGGTTTTAGCTTAATATTAAGTCCCTGGCCCGTTTTGCTTAATATTTTCCTTTTTTCTTAGCGCACAATGCAGCAACAAAAAAACAACATATTGAAGGAAGGAAGGAACAAGAAAACAAGAAAAAACAAAAACGAAGAATAGAAGCAACTGCCAAGAAAATTCTTTTTTTCCATTTCAAAGTAAAGTAAGTCGACTGGGTAAAAGCACAAGGCACATGATGCCCCCTATTCCCATGAATGTGTGCCAAAGAGTGTTGGCCAGTTGGTTAGTTAGAAGTTTGACGCTGCCACTGCCAAAGGCTTGCAGGCTGCAGCTGCGATTGAGCATCTTGTGACTGGCAGCAGCAGGCCGACGTTGATGTTAACGTTGGGCCTTAAGCTTGGACGTTGCACGTTGCACGTTGTATTTAGGTGCGTCAACTTCAAATTAATTGCACTTTAACTTCATTATTCTGCATGCCTGAGCATGCTGCCTGCTTGCCTGCCTGCCTGCCTGCCTGCCTGCCAATATAGCCTTTTTCAAACATTAGGGGCGTTGCCTACTTTTCGGAGCCTGCCTGACACCATTTTGCGCTTGGTCAATATTTCAAACAGATTAGAGAGCAACAAAATGCGCCTTAATTGAATGCCATACGCCGTCCAAAGCCAAAGCCAACGCCAAACCCAAGCACATACCCGGACAGAACCCGACATACTAACGACCCAAGCCATGAGCCATCCACCAGCTGCTCAGCACAGGACATACATATTTAATGAGCCTCGACACGTCTTGCGACAGGCAGCACATTTGCCGCCAAGGAGTCGGAGTCGGCGGCGGAATTGGAGTTGGAGTTGGGGTCGGAGTCAGCATGTGGCTGTAGGTAACTGGTTCCAATTGCTTCTGCCTCCCTCGCATCTTTTGCTGTTGGGCATCGTTAACGTTTGCCGCAGTCGAAGTCGCAGTCGCAGTCGCACTCGCAGTCACAATCGCACCTTGGCAGCGGCACGCACTCATACGCACACACATACACACACACACACACATACATAAGCCGAAACATAAATTTCGTTAATCATTGAACTGGAAATTTAATAGCCAAGCCATATATATATATATATATATGTATATATATATATATATATTTATGTACAGGCGGCATTAAGCGCCAGGCAATCTACGCACCCATTTAGCCATTTCCACAATTCCACTCGGCACTCGGCCGCATTGCAGTTAAAGTTTCTTTCGCATCCACAAAGCAAGCAAAGCGCAAAAAATTCCATTGCACAGAGCACGTAGCCAGTGGGCGGTTGGTGGGGGGCGTGTAGGTGTGAGCTGGCTGGTGGTTCACTTAAAAACTACGGCAACCATAATAAGCATTTTGTTCAACAAAAAAAAAATAAAAATAAAATAATAATAATAATAAAAACAAAAATACATTTTTCTTTTTTGGGACTTTAGCGCGACGAGTTTTGTGGCGTGGCTTGTCAATGCATTGCGCTGCTGGCCAAGCTAAAATACATAATTATATGGTTGTTATAATAATGCGAGTTGCCGCAAAGTTCAAGCAACAAAACAAAATGCCAAAAGGCGACCCAAGGGTCGCAACATGCGCCATGAAGATATACACATAGATCAGAGATAGCCACCTAAATGGCCGCACTTTGCCTCCTTTTCTTTTATTTTCAATACCACCCAACCAAGCACACCACCACCACCTCAGCCATCTCAATTCGGAAATAGATTAAGCTTTAAATGCCACAATGTGTAACCGTAATAGGGTCAATAGATGGCAGGAGCAGAGCCTTAGTACCTGCCACATTAGCATTCCGCCTCTTTGTTGTTGCCGCTCGTCTCACAATGTGGCAATATATTTAAATGGCTGAGCACCAAACAAGTTGAAAGCAATTGCCGTTAGGAATTTTACACACCCATGCTTTTTGCCACAAGCGAACAGCGATTTTGGAATACACGCACACACACACACA